TATAACTAGGAAATATTAAAAAGCAAATTCATTGATATAATTAAGTTATATTTTATTTGAATGTGTTATATATATATATATATATATATATATATATATATTAAACTTATATTTATGTATTAAAATAATAATTATTATTATATATAATAATAATTATTATTATATATAATAATAATTATTATTATTATTAGAATATGATCTGTAAAATGTTACAAGTTAATGCTGAAAATTATTCAAATTAAAGAAAATAGTTGTTGGAATTTAATGCAATAAAAAACGGTAAAAGGGAAAATTATGTGAAAGTGGAAATGATTAATCTTTAGGTAAAGAAAAACATTTTTTTGTACAAAACGAGTTTTTTATTATTTAAGGTGGTATTTCTCATTATTATAGTGTACAAGATAGTTGATGAAAACGTTCATAAATTTATTTTTATTCTATATATTTTAAATATAGATTTAGTTGACTATAAAAATGGAGAGAGGTATTTATAAATTAAATTAAAAATTATAAACATTTTTAATATCTAAGTTTGAATAAATTTGCTATTATTTTGAAGAATTGGAAGAATTTTTGATAATGCCAGATGTACAGGTACGTGAGCCGCAGGATACGGTCTGGACCATAGAACGGACCAAATCCTTGATAAATTATTATAAATTATACGTACCTCAATTGCGTTCGCTGAATGTACGAAACAAGAAAGAGATGTGGAAGAAAATCAGCGAAAATATTAATGAGGAATTTGGCACAAGCTTTAAAGAAAATAACGTGGAAAATAGATGGAGGGTTCTACTAAGAAGTTATAAATTAGTCATTGATAGAAATGAATCCGGTAATAAGCATGTTTGGCAGTGAACATCTTAGTGTTTTTTCCACATATTAATAATTATTTTAACAGATCCACGGCGGTCAACCTTTGAATATTTAGAAGATTTCAATGAAATTTTCAATAGGGCGCAAAGCACAAACCCTATCTGCCTATTGAATTCAGAAAATGAAAATAACGTTTCGGATGTGATGCTACAAACTGGGCCTTCACGATCTGCTATTGAAACAGCAGCAGATGATGACTCGTCAGAATCAGATTTTGATATTGAGCCATCAACTGTTGCTAGAGAAAGGCGGATCAGAAGAAGAAGGACTACGTTACAAGAAATCAGAGACGATAAGAGAAAATTTTATAGAGAAATATTAGAAATAGAAAGAGAGAAATTAGCAATTTTAAGAAATAAATATGGAGATGTATAAATTAATTATTTTTATATTAATTATTATACCATGATATGTTTTTTTGAATATATTATTAATTATTAAGTACAAATTATTTCATTATATAACACATTAAACTAGTGAAATACCAAATGTCTAATATGAAAGAACATTTTGAATATTTTTAAAATGTTATTTTCAATTTCTTCTGTATTCATTACGACTATTTATGAAATGATGAATCCTCTTGATATTTTATAATTATTTATAGTAAAGCAGCTGCTATCTGATCGCGAAGCAATCGGGCATTTATTTCTTCGGCATTAACTTCATCTTCAACCGAAGACTCAATGTTCAAGCGAGAAAGATTTTGGTTTCTCTGCAAACATTCAAAATTTTCTTTTATGCTCCAATTGTGTAAAACACAGCATGCTCTTATAAAATGGCAAATAAAATGGATGTTTTTTATTTTTAAATGATAGAGTTGCCTAAAATTTTGTTTTAATAACCCAAATGTATGTTCAATAGTACTTCGAGCACTGTTAAGTTTTTTATTAAAATGTTTCTGGGTTTGCGTTAGAGAATTAATATTTCGAAATGGTGTCATTAAATTTGTTTTCAGCGGGTAAGCTGCGTCTCCTAATAAAAAATATCGACCACATTTTCGATTTAAATTTAAACCCAAATTCGATCTTCTGAATACTCTAGCATCATGTACTGAACCAGGACATCCAATGAAAACATCGATAATTTTGTTCTGATCATTACAAACAGCTTGCATCTGAAAAAAATAAATTAGAACATGTTTCGAAATTTTAGTATATAAACAAAGTTACCGCACATTTATAGAACAGTATCCTTTTCGGTTTAAAAAAGATCTTGAATCCTTTGCAGGTTTGTTTATTCGTATGTGGCACCCATCGATTACTCCAATTACATTAGGAAATCCTTTTTGTAAAAATCCTTCAGCAATCAATAACTTTTCTTCATGATTTGGCCACTTTATAAATTCAGAACTGATACAACTTAGAAAAGAAGTAACTCTTCGAATTATTCTATGCAAAGAACTTAAAGTGATATCAAAACGATCACTGACATCCCTGTAGCTGGCACTTTCATGTCCCGCAAACCACAAAAAAATCTGCACCTAAAATTTTATTTCATTATAATTTTTTTAGAACAACCACAAATTTATGCCGCACCTGATGTAAAGCACTTATTTTTCCATATATTCCATATGTATTTAAATTGTAGATTGCACTTGCTTTATATCGGTCAGATATTTGTTTACAAACATTTCTGCTAACTCTAAAGTGTTCCATAAACTGTGCCTCGTCATACAATGGAACCACTTTGTCTGCCAAAATAAGATTATTGTCTATAGCCACATTGAACAAATTATTGAATAATCACTTAACATATTTATGATAGTGATCGATTTATTAATAGTTAAAAATAATATTACAAAATAATATAAAATAAAAATAATATTACAATAATATATTATTGTAATATTTTTTATTTTATAATATTATTTTGTAATATTATAATTAATTTTGTAATGTTATAATAAATATAATAAAATATTTTAGTAACAGATTGCATTTTACTTACCAAGATAACCCTTATTTCTTTCAACTTCCACAAACTTTAATAAATCTAAATCATCGTCGTCCTCGTACTTTTTAAAATCGTAAAAAAATTCATCATCACTCATTTTAAATAAAAATTGCACTATACTAACTAAATTAAAAAACTGAAAACTGTTCTAAAGTTCTGAATTTGACTAAACACTATTTTAATATTATAAAAAAACTTATAATATTTTAATATTATAAAAACTTTTTAAAAACTTATTCCTTATCTGCGATCAAACATCGAACGATAAACGGCCGTAAATAACCCGCAAACGAATTCCGATTTGTACCGAAAACCACCGAATACAATCGAGTGAGCTCCGAGTTCGAACGCGTTGGATGTATTCAAACCAAACCATTGCCAACTGCCATGAAAAAATCAGAAAGAGTTTGATCTAGTTTGAAACTGTTTGAAACAGTTTCGGACTGTCAGATTTGCTCGGATGGAACGAAACCCAT